GCAAATCCTCTTGCCCTGAGCGGCGACATTCACCTTCTGCCCCTAGACGCAGGGCTCCAGGTTTCGGTCAGATGTCTTGAGCAATTTCAAACAGAGAAGAGGCTCCACATGACCAAAGGAAAATTCGCACCCGAACACCCATGTGGTCATTGGGAAAGACTCATAGAAAGTCGATAAACCTCTAAGACTGATCAAGAAGTAGAGAAGAGGGACCGGCAGTTGGAGTAATGGCTATGTCACTGGACTCCCATGTAGTTGAGTGCGGTTCGAGTCCCAGACCTGGTGGCTTAAACTCACACCAAGCGCGTGTGCATGCGTGCCCAAGATCCTGAGAGGAGAAAGGATTGTGACGTGGCCATCCTCCCTGGGGGATAATTTCTCGCTTTCTCTCTCTGTCTCTCTGGCGAGTGCACATGCCCTATAGCAAAATCCTCAAAAAAAAATAAAAAAAGAAAAGTAAAGATACACAGTCACCAAGAATGGAGAGGCCACACCAGGCGGCCCGCTGTGCACGCTCAGCACAGTGTGCACGCTCAGCACCGTGTACGGAGCCAGATCCCACGTGGCCAATACCATTGAGTCCCAGCGCCGGGGCCTGAACAACACGCCAGGTGCATGCCTGTGTGAGCCCAGAATCCCGACAGCAAGTTGGAGGGAAAAGGACCGTGTTGGGGCTACACCCAGTGGGGTTCTGCCCTCACCCTCTCCCTCTCATTTCTGAATCATTCACATTTTGGAGATGTAGCTGTAAACGATGACAGGATCCCTGAACCAGCTAAAATCCCCTCCTGCACCCTCTGGCTCCTACTGAAGGAAGCTACAGAAATGTGCGCCAAGCCCACGACACTACTGCCGGGCCCCCGGCTGCGCTCGCCACAGCTCTTCTCAGCTCCCACGGGGAGTTCCTTCAAAGAGACTTTACAACCAAGTGTCAAGAAAATTCTGTGTTTCATTGAAGAAATAGCAAGTGGTCTTTTCCTCTCATAAATAGTGTGACTCTATAAATGGTCGTGCTTCTCACTTCGTTTCTCTAGCTCACTCTTCATTTTCTTGACTGTACAGGGTCTATTTTTGCATATCTGGGTAAACTCTTGGCCTTATTTTGTCATTCAGCCTGTATTTTCCTAAACCTCAAGATTTTCCATTATTTTTCTACACTATTTTATTGTTCATTTTCTTTTTTTTCCCCAGAATTGTTTTATTTCACTTATCATCATCACTATTATTTGCTTAATTTGACTAGAGAGAGACAGAGAGAAGGAAGAGTAGGCAAGCCTCCAGGTCCGGGACTGAAACCGCGGTCGGCCATGTGGGAGTCCAGCGCCTTAACACCAGCTCACCTCCAGCCCCCTTTATCCTTCATTTTCTTATGTAGCCTTTATTTCTTAGTGGAAAGAGAGAAGCTGCAAATATGGCAAGCACGCCATGGTCACCGATTTGGGGGTGTGTTCACTCACCTGTGTAAACAAAGTGGTTTTCTGTCCGGAGATGACTTTCAACGTCTGCTGTCCTTGTGCCGAAGACGCGCCGACTCCCAGAGTTCCTTGCACCACTGACCCGGTCGTCAGCTGTTTTCCAGATGTCTGAGGTGATGGCTGGCCAACTAAAAATGTACCCTAAATTAGAAGGAAAGAGAGACTAACCAGCTGTTTGTCACACTCAAGTGAATTCTCCGACCTTCTCAATCACAAGGTCCCATGTCACAAGCTACAATCTTCTCCCCTTCAATTCTGCAACTCAGTCAAAGAAACGGAAAAGAAGAAACCTGCTCAAAGTTCCATCCAATGGCTCCCCCCGCCCCCAACTTCCCACAGTAGACACAAAGCAGGCTGCTGGAGGCCCAAGTGTGATCTAGTCCTCGGAGCTGGGTTTAATCACTCGGATCGAGAACTATTCGGTCTATGATAAGAACGTCCTGAACAGGGGCTGGCAAGAGGTGTGGCTAAGGGGCTGGACTCCCACGTGGCCAACTGTGGTCTGAGTCCTAAACCTGGCAGCTTGCTTTCTTACTCCCCTTCCCTAACTCCAGTAAAACTAAATAATAATAATAATAATGACAAATTAAATGAAATATTCTTAAAAAAACAGTCAGGAACCTAAATTCGACCACCTTCCTTACAGGAAAGCAGACCTCAGTGACAGGGAAACACGGCAGACTGCATTCCTAGTTGGGTCTAACCTAACTCCTCATACAGAACCTGGGGACTCTCTCTGCTTAGGCCCTCCCATGACCCACTTTCAAGCATACATTAGTGATGCTTCTTATCTCATGGACTTGGGAGGCGGTCAGCATCGTGGAAATCTTTCTTTGAGGCAGGAAGCTCTGGGTTTAGACGCAACTCTACCATTAGCTTAGCAGGGAGTTCTTAGTTAAGTTACTTAAACCTGTCTGAATCTCTGGGACCAGCAGTTAGCATAATGGCTATGTCACTGGACTCCCATGTAGCCAACTGTGGTTCAAGTCCCGGATCCGGTGGCTTAAACTCACACCAGGCACGTGTGCGTGTGCGCCCAAGATCCCAAGAGGAGAATGGAGAAGGGACTGCAGTGTGGCCATCTCCCCTGGGGGGTGATTTCTGACTTTCTGTCTCTCTGTCTCTTTCTGGCGAGCGCACACACCCTATAGCAAAAACTTCTCAAAAATGAAAAACAAAAAACCCTGTCTGAATCTCTATTTCCTATTCTCTCTAAACAAAACAAGCCCCCAAATACAGACTTCTAACATGCCTCAACTGTAATACTGGCCCAATAGCAGAGTTGTAAAGGAGAATCAACCATAATCAAAGGCAACTGTCAAACAGCCAGACCTGGGGCGTCTGCTTGAGGATGTAAGACGTGTAAGTCAGGTGCTGGGATATCCCCGCAGGGCCGGCGGCGCTCGGGGTTCCTCCTGCTCCTCCTCCGCCGCCGCCACCTCCTCCACCACCACCTCCTCCGCCACCGCCTCCTCCCGTGCCGCCGCTGCCGCCAGCTGAGCCGGACTGGAGGTCTGAAACACAGCAGATGGGAGCCGCGTCACAGCGGTGCCGGGCAAGCTTAGCCGACGGGCCTAAGAGCCCCCGGAGACAGGGCCACAGGGCACCTCCCTCGGCTTCCTTCTCTGTGCAACACCCATTCTGGGCCACGCGTGACCATGTAATGTGGCTGACTCGACTTCAGCTCTGCACATGGTCTCTGCGACTTCTGACTAACTGGGGACATCGAGAGAGATCCTTACAGCCAAAGGTTTTGATCCACATTTGAATCTGTTCAGACAGAAGCTTCCCGACTTTCTGCTATCTTATTCAATTTCAGAGAAATTGGAATTCGGTATAATTTTGTGTTATTTTCTGTCTCCCCTGTCCCAGGAAACCTGACTCCACATGTGTACAAACACTCCAGGGCGTCACCTTTCCTGCTTTTCACATCCCACTGTAAGGCCCATGTAAACTACCCGGACTAGGAATATCCACTACCCAGACATGAGAATTCAATTCCCTCCTCAACTAATTCCAGTAAGCGTTACCAGAACGGATTCCTTCCCAGTGGCTTACATGACCCTGAGGACACCACAAAAATCAAGAGTGTCTGGTTTCCTACGTGCATACTTTCTAACGTACGGCTAGGTATGAGCAACACCACCAGGGTGAAAGACCGAAGGCAACTCACGACAGCCATCAGACAAGATGGCGAGGGGCTGGCACCCTGCACTTTGACGAGGGTGGCTTCTAATGGCCGCTCTACTTCTCAGTCAGAGGGAAATCATTCTCCTACCCTTTCCTCTCCAATGCCATTCAGACTGTTTTTCTCTAAATGTCAAAGCAAAAGTTGATGGAACTCTAGATTAAACCGTCTAATTTCCGTGGGCTTTAAGACGTACACAGGTTGAGCCTGCAATTCTGTTTCCATCTCCAAACCAGCAAATGCGAGAAGACACGATTCCAGGCCCATCCCCTTCCCCTTCACAGTAAGACTTCTAACCCCTGGAAGCAGATGGGCCCATCCCAGGCATGGCAGGACGGTTCTGGGACCCGATCAGATGGAGAACTCTGCTCGGAGTGCACGCATACACCTTCGATGGCCGCACTTGCATGGTGTTGGCCCAACGAGGGTCCCAAACTCCAAACAGGGAAACCAAAGCAACACGGCCACTTCCCGACTAGGGGCGTGTAAATCTGCTCCTGGTTAAACTACGTGTATTCCTTAAATCCATTTGGAAATGCTACCACTGTACACCAGCTATGGAGTGCAGAGTTACAGAAACGCTTCCTTATGGACTGCCCCCAGGTGGACAAGGACACCCACAGACCGAGCACCAAGGCTCAGTGACTTCACTAACTGGCGTTGTTGGTGGCTCTCAGGATGGCTCCCTGGGGGATCAGCAGCAGTTTTCCTTTTCCTGAAGGGTTCTTGCTGTTCGTCGTAAGGTAGAGTTTCGTGCCAGGAGGCAGGCTGGCCAAGTTGGCCAGATTTGTGGCTGGCAGCTGCAACGTCGCCATTACTGAAATGGTAAAAGGAACGAAGACAGGAGGAAAACAGTAATATGAACTGGAAGCAAGGGCAGCCATCTCTAAAACTGAAATACAAAGTAATGCGGTACTGATGTAAAAGCCCAAAAACAGTAACCTTATAGTTTGTTTCTTGGACGGCTAGTGCTCTAAAGGCTTTTTTTGGTTTTTACTTTTGTTTTCATAAAGGCTAATATTCTTAAGTATCTTACGAACTGAAAAATGGCTTAGAGGCCAGAAGAGCCTACCACAAACCAATTTCTCTCTGCAGGTAAACAGGGCGATCGTGCGCCCGGTTCTGCCTGCTACAGCTCTAGCTTACACTGATCTGGCAGTCATCAACAGTGGCTGTCTCTAAGCGCTGTGGTTTAGACAATGCAATAGTCACCGTCGGACCCACAGACCAGTTCATTTCTCTTCCATCATTTAAAATCCCGACAAGGCAATTTCTAGAAAGAGGTAAATCGACTGAAACGAGACCTGGACTCTCGTGCCAAGAACCCTACAGTTAACAACTGGCACATAATAGCACAGAACGAGTTCATTGTAAAACTCGCGAAGTCGAAGAGCTCTCATTTTCTCCTAGAACTCACTCATCTGTGCGTGCATGGCTAAAACCTCTAAACCTGAGTCTTGAGAGAGACTTAGGCAGGACCAGCAGAGGGCGTAATGGTTACGTCGCTGGACTCCCACGTAGTCCTGGACCCGGTGGTTTACAACTCATGTCAGGTGCGTGTGCGTGCGTGCCCCAGATCCCCAGAGGAGAATGGAGGAGAAGGGATTGCGGTGTGGCCATCGCCCCTGGGGGTGATTTCTCGCTTTCTGTCTGTCTCCATGGTGAGCGCACATGCCCTACAGCAAAAATCTCTCTCTTTCAAAAAAAAAAAAAGGGGGGATTTAAGAGGGCCAGCAGGTGGTGTGGAGGTTAAGGCTCTCTTTGAGATTCGAGTCCTGGACCTAGTGGTTTACAGTGCTGGATGACCACAGTTCAAGTCCCGGACTCAGCAGCTTGGAAATCACAACAGATGCATGCATGCCCCAAATCCCAGGAGACTAGGGGAGAGGGAACCGTGGCATGGGCACCCCAAGCGGTGGTGGTTTCCACTCTCCCTCTCAAAAACCTTAAAATAAACAAATGAAGAAACAAAAAACACACCGAGTGAATGTGAGTGCAAGCCCAAAACCCCAAGAAGAAAGTGGAAAAGGGCTTGCAGTGTGGCCATCTGCCCCCTGGCGGTGTGTGTGTGTGTGTGTGTGTGTGTGTGTGTGTGTGAGAGAGATTTCTCACTTCCTCTCTCTCCCTGGGGAATGTACACATTCTACAGAAAAAAATAATAATAACTCAAAGGGACCTGAGTGTCAAACTCTCTGCAGGGAGTACGTTAATAAAGTCTTCTGCTCGGCAGAGACTGCGTTAGCAAGGCGCCTCAAATGCGGCTGGAAAATGACCATACCAAGGTTTTAAGTCTGAGGTACAACCCCAAGTGGGGACAAGGGCAGTAAGAATTGTTCTTCAGACTTCAAAGTAGTACCAAGAGACAGGCTCTATTTTTATTATTCTTGGTATGCATCTATGTGTATGAATATATATGAATTTTTTTTAAGAGGTTTTTGCCTTAGGGCGCAAGAACTCACCAGAGAGACAAAGACTAGGAGGGCAAGTGTGAAATCACCTCCTAGGCGGGATGGTCATGCCATCAGCCCGCCTCCTCCATACTCCTCCCGGGATCATGGGCACGCATGCACACGCACCTGGTGTGATCTTTCAAGTCACTGGATCCGGGACCCAAACCACAGGTCAGTCACATGGGAGTCCAGAGACATAATTGCTATGCCATGTGCCGGCCTCCTCTCTTGAATATGTATTGTGGAGGTATAGCCTTTAATATCTTGGGGTAGCTTTCATGTTCCTACTTCTCATACAAAGACACATATCCTAAACTACTTCAGCACTCTACACAAAATGCTCCGTGAGAAAAAGGGACACCCATTCCCACGCACTCACAGCATCACCCTGCTCGGCCTCCCCAGAGTCCAGACACTAGCAGAGGACGTGCTGGACAGGGCGGGGCCGACAGCCCCGAGTTACCTGAGCCCTGGGGGCCGCTCTTCTGCGGGCCAGCGGCAGCGACCTGTGCCTTGGTCAAGGCCTGCACCGGCTGAGCAACAATGGTCCCTCCGCCTCCGCTCACAATCGCCTTGGCGACTCCTTGGGTCACGACTTGCTTAGGACCGACTGCTTTGGCGACAGAAGAGCTGGCCTTGGCCACCAGGATTTGGCCCCCGCTGATCGCCACAGCCTGTTTCACCGTTGACGGTAACGCAGACCCCACGGGCACCCCAACGACCTGTGCGAAACAGAGGAGGGTCAGCCGAGCTGCTTCAGGTACCTTCAGAGGTCGTGGGGCAGAGCGGTGGCCCAGGCCGGCACAGCCGGCGGGCTCCAGGCCCGGTCCTTGGAGTCTGCCTTGGCCACCTCCCGATGCTACCCACACAGATGGGGACAGCAGACCTCACGTCCTGGGTGCTACATAGCACAAGCTTCCAGATCCTGGTCGTAACTGTGGCTGCGTTCTCATGACTTGCTTTGATAATAACACGTTTCTTATAGAAAACTGGAAGTACGGAAGTATTAAAAAAATTCTACTCATTGGGAACCAGCAGTTAGCGTAATGGCTATGTCGCTGGACTCCCACGTAGTCGACCGTGGTTCGCGTCCCGGACCCGGTGGCTTAAAACTCACGCCGGGCGCGTGTGCGTGCGTGCCCAAGATCCCGAGAGGAGAATGGAGGAGAAGGGATTGCAGCGTGACCATCTCCCCTGGGGGGTGATTTCTCGCTTTCTGTCTCTATGTCTCTCTCTCTCTGTCTGGCGAGCGCATGCGCCCTATAGCGAAAAAACCTCTCTCTAAAAAAAAAATTCTACTCATCTAGAAATAATCTCTTCACATTTTTTAAAGTTTTTTTTTTCTTTTTGCATACGGCACATGTGCTCTCTTGAAAGAGACAGAAAAAGACAAAGACAGGGAAAGTGGGAAATCACCCCCAGGAGGGACAGCCACACCGCAATCCCTCCTCCTGCATTCTCCCCTCAGGATTTTGGGCACACATGAACATGCACATGCACCTGGTGTGAGTTTCAAGCCACTGGTCCAGGACTTGAACTGTGGTCGGTCATATGCGTGTCCAGTGCCTTAACCACCACACCAGGTGGTGACCTGCGGCCCCAACCTCTTCACTTTTCACTTTTTTTTTTGAGAGATTTTTTTCGCTATAGGGCGTGTGCGCTCACCAGACAGAGAGAGACATAGAGACAGAAAGCGAGAAATCACCTCCCAGGGGGGATGGTCACATTGCAATCCGTTCTCCTCCATTCTCCTCTCGGGATCTTGGGCACGCACACACACGCGCCCGGCATGAGTTTTAAGCCACCGGGTCCGGGACATGAACTGCGTTCGACTACACGGGAGTCCAGTGACATAGACATTATGCTAACTGCTGGTTCCCCCAACCTCTTAATATTTTTAACGTATTTACACCAGAATGTCTAATGTACATTTCAAACACACTGTATTTGATAGTTTTTTTTTAAACATGTTTTATAAAAATTTCCTAATAATATTTTTCACAAGACACTTTTAGGTGACCGATCATCTCAGAATAGGTATACCACAATCTGTGTAAACATCTCTGTACTGCTGGGTCCTTGGGTAATTTTAAACTTCACATTACGCAACACTGAGCAATAAACATTCCCACACACGAGCTATCAGGCTGCTGGGAAGGTTGTGATGCACTTGCCTGGTTTTGAACCCAGAAACGTTCATGCCTTTCCTGACCACCCAATGTAAACGCCACTCCAGACTTCAAGTCTCTCTTCAATAACTCCTCTGTGACCCCTATCTGAAACGGTCACCTTTTCTTTCCATCTCCAGACGTCCCCACAACAAACATCCTTCATTACACAACCTGTGGCTCCTCTTCAAATGATTTCTAATGAAGTTGCCTTTTGCTGTGTATCTCACCCTAATCTTCTCTCCTCTGCTAACCAAAGGTAGAACTTTAATTAAAAAGAACAAAGTTAAGGGCAGCAGGTGGCATGGTGGTTGGGATGCTGGACTCCAACATGGCCGACTGCAGTTTGAGTCCTGGACCTGGTGGCTTGCTTTCTTGCTTTACTTTCCCAACCCCATGACTTAAAATAGTAATAATAAATAAATTAAGCAAATAATTCTTTTAAAAAATTTTTTATTATTTATTTTTTAATTTGACCAGAGAGAGACAGAGAGAAAGAAAGAAAAGTTGAGAAAGCAAGCTGCCAGGTCCAGGACTTGAACCATAGCTGGTCACATGGGAGGCCAGAGTCTTAACCACCATGCTACCAGTTGACCCTGTAAACAAATAACAAATCTTTTTTATTTTCAGATTTATTTATTTTTAATTTTATTTATTATCATTATTTTTCAATTTTGACCAGAGAGAGATAGACAGAAAAGGAGAGCGAGAAAGCAAGCCACCAGGTTCAGGTCAGCCACATGGGAGTTCAGTACTTCCACCATAACACCACCTGCGGGCCCCCAAATAATTCTTTAAAAAAAAAGCAAAAGGGGAACCAGCAGTTAGCGTAATGGCTATGTTGCTGGACTCCCACGTAGTCGACTGCGGTTCGCGTCCCGGACCCAGTGGGCAAAAACCCACACCAGGCGCGTGTGCGTGCGTGCCCAAGATCCCGAGAGGAGAATGGAGGAGAAGGGATTGAGGCGTGACCATCCCCCCTGGGGGGTGATTTCTCGCTTTCTGTCTCTCTGTCTCTGTCTGTCTGGCGAGCGCATGCGCCCTATAGCGAAAACCTCTCCAAAAAAAAAAAAAAAGAAAGAAAAGGATGGGCCCGGCAGGGGGCGTGGTGGTTAAGGTGCTGGACACTTCCACATGGCTGACCATGGTTCGAGTCCTGGACCTGGTGGCTTGCTTTCTCACTTTCCTCTCGGTCTCTCTCTGGTCAATTAAAATAAATGAATGAATGAATAAATAAAATTAAATAAAATAATTCTTAAAAATAAAAAAAAGAAAAGGAAAAATAAAACACCAAATGGGTGTGTGCATGCATTGCAAAATTCTGAGAGAACAGGAGAAGGGTTGGTGGTGTGGCCATGCCCTCTTGGGAGAGTGGGTGATTTCTCACTCTCTCTGTCTCTGTCTCTCTGGTGAGCACACAATCCTTTAGCAAAAAATCTCTCTCACAAAAAAAAAAGAGTTGAAGCAATAATATTTAGTTGGATTAAAAAAATAAAAAGACCCAAGCAAGGGGCTAGCAGGTGGTACGGTGGTTAAAGGAGCTGGATCCCACATGGCTTATTCTACGGTTCGACTCCTGGACCCTGGCGGCTTGGAAAACACGCTGGATGCACGTGTGTGTGCACCAAAAACCGCAAGAGGAAAATGGAGAGGGGACTGTGGTGTGGCCTTCCACCCTGGGAGAGGTTTCTCACTTTCTCTCTCCCTGTCGCTCTCCAGTGAGAAAGCACCTATGGCAACCCTTCTCCCCCAAATAAAAACCACCAGAAAACCCCCCACGGCCCACCCCGCAGTACTGTGGTTAAGCGCTGTGTACTGGGAGCCAGATCCCACATGCCTAACTGCAGTTCAACTCCCGGCCCTTGTGTCTGAGAACATGTATCTAGCACACGTGTGTGCAGGTCCAAGATCCTGAGGGTGGAGAGCTGGAGGAGAAAGGGCTGTAGCTCAGCCATGCCCCGTCAGGGGTGCTTTGTCTTTCTCCCTCTGGTGAGTGCACACACCCTCTTAGGATTTCAAAAAGAAGAGGTCGAGTACCCAAATGATGACAGTCAGAAACACCTGGCTCTAGGAGGCCAGACGGCGGCGCACAGGTAAAACACAATGCTGCATGAGGCACGCCCACAGGGGAAGGCTGCCAGCTTACCAGCGTCCTCCCCGACTGTGCTGCAAACCCTTGAACCCATGACCCAGGCTGGCCAAGGCTGAGGGTGGATGGAGGCTCTGAGACCCTGTCAGGGCTGCTATATCTTTCTCTTTCTCAAATGATAGACAAATAAACTTAAAAAAAATCTGGTTCTGATATTTTCAAGTAAGAAAACACCTAGGAGGTCTTTTACAACAAAGTAAGCAGTAGGACGTTGTATTAGAAGAAACAATTTAATGAATGGCAAATTGCAGTATTTTCCTATTCCCCAGCTTTTTATTTAATGAAAAGAATTTCTGGGTCACATGGCAACTATGTTTTATATCATGGCCTCATGTCCTGGTGGTTAGGGCAGCTGGATTCCACATGGCCAACCACAGGGTTCAAACCCTGGCTCTGACAGCTTGAGAACTACTCAGGCACGTCCGTGGTGCCCGGCCCCGACAAGCTGGAAAGAGGCAGGAGACGGAACTGCAGTATAACCACACCCTGCTGGGAGGTGCTTTCGCCCTCTGTCTCTCCAGCAAGCGCACGCACTGTCAGGCAAATAAATAAAAATATTTTTTCATCAGAAACCAGATGGAAAGAATTTTACAAGGTTATGAAAGAAATACCAAAATCCACCCTAAAAAGGTAAAAACTATAAAAGATTATTTTTACCCATCGATTGGACAGAAAATGGTTAAAAAGCCCGATGACATCTGTTTCTTTCTTGTAGCACTAGAAGATCCGTAGTGTGCAGAGAAAGAGAAGGCAGAAGATGAAGGGGAGGAGTGCTCCCGACGGCACCTGCTCACCCTGCCAGGAGGTGGAGCACCTGCAGGCGCCTGGTGTATTCTTCGAAGCACAGGGGCCAGGGCCTGAGCTCTGGGACCCGGCGCTCCTGTGCAGCACTTAACCTGTGTGTGACAAGGCTGGCCCAAAGACCTTGCTCTTAAAACCTAGATTTAGTTGGTCAAATAGAATTAATCTTGAGTGAAATTACACAGCACCTGAGTTCTGCTTAGAAGTCCCGTAAGAGGGGACAGTAGGTAGTGTAGTGGTTAAGGCACTGGACTCCCACACGGCTGATCATGGTTTGAGTCCTGGACCTGGTGGCTTGTTTTCTCTCCCTCTCTGTCCATCTCTGGTGAAATAATGATAATAACAGTAATAAAATAATTATTTTTTAAAAATCCCATAAGAAAAGTAAGAGTATTAAAATACTGATTAATTGCTGACAATGAGTAACAGGCACATGGACTTACTGCACTATGACTTTACTTTTTTTTTTTTTTTTAAGTTTTTGTTAGAGGGCATGTGTGGTCATCAGAAACACACACACACACACACACACACACACACACATACACACAGAGAAAGAGAGAGAGAGAGAGAACATGAGAAATCACTCCCCAGGGGGATGGCCACACCACAATCCCTTCTCCTCCATTCTCCTCTCAGGATCTTGGGCACGCACACACACGCACCTCGCATGATTTTCACGTTTCAGGGTCCTGGACTCAAGCAGCACGGTTGGCCACGTGGGATCCAGCTGCCTTAACTACAAAGCCACTGGCTAGCCCCTATTTGTATTTATATTTAAAGAAGGTGGGAAGGAAAGAAGCAGCAAAAGAATGAAAGAACCAGTAAGAAAAGCCAAGTAAACCTAGGATAGAAACAAGAAATCCTGCAGCTTTTCTGGCCTGGCTGAGCACGCCTTACTCTCTACTGAACACAGCTCAGTACCCTGACTAATGCACCTGTTCTGCGGGGCCATGGAGCCCCTCCCACAGAGCTGAGCACCCCGACTGAGCGCCTGTTCTGCAGGGCCGTGGAGCCCCTCCCACAGAGCTGGGACAGGAGATGCAGGAACCTTATCAGTCACGGACCTGTCCACATTCATTAGTTTCTCTGCAGAGAAACGCTCTGGGGCGAGGCAGGAACTGCTGGCTGAACCCCAAGACTACTCTCTTCTGTCATGTACAGAGCCCCAGTTTTAGAGGGACACGGTCATAGAGGACAGTGGTCTCTCCAAGCCCCCCGTGGTCAGGCGTGGCCACTGCCTGCCGCTCAGAGGTAGGAGCACACGCCGCATGCACAAGCTCTGGGCCGCACTGCCCTTGGCTGTGCCCTCGCTCCCTTCCTGCTGGCAAAACATGCAGACACAGAGGCACGAGATGAAGCACTTACCACAGCCCGCAAGCTGAAAATCAAATTCTGAGACCAGTGGAGCAAAAAGGCAGGAGTCTAGAATCTTTTCATTTTTTTATGAGACATTTTGCTATAAGGCATATGCGCTTGCCAGAGAGACAGAGACAGAAAGCAAGAAATCACCCCCCAAGGGGGTGGCCAAGCTGCAATCCCGTCTCCTCCATTCTCCTCTTGGGATTTTGGGTACATGCACACATACATCCGGTATGAGTTTAAAGCCTCCGAGTCGACTATGTGGGAGTCCAGGACGTCACCATTACGTCATCTGCTGGTCTCGGAGTCTAGAACCGTAATGATGTGGAACTGAAGCAGAGCGGCCTACTGGTGGGTGTGAGGGAGACAACCTTAGCCAAGTCTCTGGTGTTGGGATTTTTGCTGTAGTAGCTGACCGCTCCTAAGTATACGGGAGTTGTCACGTCTCCTAAATATACCAAACTTCATCATCTACACTCCGGACACTACACATCGTGTATTTTCATATTCCTAAACTAACAACCAAAGATCTCAAAGGAAGCGATAGACATACTAGCCCAATTTCCATTTCTTCCCCAAATTCCATGCATCTGACTTGCTTTCCCTGCGTTGACGGCTTTGGAGCTTCCAGGACGTGACCCAAGTACGCGCTCCAAGACCCTGGCAAGACGTGGCACCCCAGTCGGCTGGAGGGCAGGTTAGAGCGGGGCTTACTCACGGCACACCGCCTGCAGTGAGTGCTCTTCCACCCTCGGCTCCGGAGATGAGGAGGATGAGCACTCTGGGCACCCACACAAAGCTGACCTCGGACACCGTAAGAGCAGTAAGGGTCCTTAAGCAGAATACGAGCTCCAAATTAGTTTTCTTTTTTTACATTAAAAAATGTTTTTAAAGAACGTTACCAGAGTATAAGCTCGCCGGGGGGGAGGGAGAAAGCACTCCGCCCAGGCTGCAATCCCTTCTCCACTTCCCCATCCTGCTGGGATTTCTGGGCACATCCCTAAGTGCGCGTGCTCACATGTCCTGGTGTGTTTTAAGCCATCAAGTCTGGGATTTGAGTGGCTTGGCCGGCTATGTGAGATCTGGCTCCCTTAACCACTAGGCCACAGAACTGGCCCACAGTTTTGTTGTTGTTGTTGTTGCTTTAAGTAATTATTTTATTTAACTTTATTTATTTATTTTAATTTGACCAGAGAAGGGCAGAGTGAGGGAGTAAGAGAGAGAGAGAGAGAGAGAGAGAGAGCAAGCAAGCCACCTGGTCTGGGACTTGAACTGTGGTCGGCCATGTGGGATCCAGTGCCCTTAACCACCATGCCACCTGCTGGCACCAGTCTACATTATTTTTAACACATTTTTGACCAAGAACCAGAACTCAACCTACCAACGCTTCTCAGCTCTTCCCATTTCCCAGCACCTCTCTGCATTGCTCACTCCCTGCTAGCTTTGTGAGGCAGGCACCCTGCGTTCTGCACTCGGACCCAGTGTCTCTATTTCTGTGCTCCATGTACCCAGCACACACAAGACCCGAGTTATTTAGCAACACGAAGGGAAGACTGTTATGGGATTTTCCCTCCAGACACTAAAAGCAGGTATTTATTTGAGAGTTTTTTTGCTATAGGGAACGTGCACTCCTGAGAGAGACAGAGAGAGAGAGAGAGAGAGATAGGAAGCGAGAAATCACCCCCAGGGGGGATGGCCACGCCGCAATCCCTTCTCTTCCATTCTCCTCTCGGGATCTTGGGCATGCACGCACATGCACCCAGCATGAGTTTAAGCCACCGGGTCCGGGACTCGAACTGCAGTCACTACATGAGAGTCCGGCAATGCAGCCATTACGCCACTTGCAGGTCCCAAAAAACAAGCACTTGCAAGTGAGTGTTCAATAACTACTGCTGCTACAGCACACGTGCACGTGTACACGTGACTCCACAATAGCTACTAATTCCGGACACCTGCTCGGCGCTCGACCCTTTACATAGGATAGGGGTCTTCAAAGCTTCATGGACGATGAGAAAACTGCGTGGATTAAATTTTTTTCCTTAATATTTCAATTTCAGTTTTTCACAGACTCTGCATTTCTCTGTGTGAAATGATCTCTAATTCCCCGACGACTCTGAGAGGAGGAGGTAATTCTCTTCTGATAAGAGACCGGCAGTCCCATTACCCCGAATTTGCTCAGCACGAGCCGATTACTTGTAAAGGCAAGCACTGTGCAGTCCACACTGCCACCCCAGCTCCCGCACCAACCTTAGAGGGCTGAATCTTTGGAGACGGGGCCGCCCCCTCTCCAGCCGTGATCACTTGCTTCTGAGGGGACACAGCTATCATGTGACCCCCTTTCACTGTCACATACTGGGGGAGCGGTGACTGGCTAGCAGCTCCTGTCGTGGGCACGTGAGCAGCTTCGCCAGGCTCTTGTTTGATGATCACCTACAACAGACACGGTAAAGACACTGAGCAAACATCCCACGAGAAAAGGCGACTAATACCCAGACCTATTCTGTTTATAGGGGTTAGTGAGTTACCGAAGCTTGGCCTGTGAAGACTGACTCGCCAGAGGGTAAAGGTATACCTAAGCATAGTCTATACGCTGTTCAAGGGACCAGAGCAGGACCTGGACTGGACCCCGTGTTTCAGAGCTTGGCGGCAGCGTGGCAGCAGAGGGAGCGCATACAGGGTGTGCTCTGTGAATTCCCGCCTTGCTGGACGCCAGCCCCGTGGGCTCAGAACGAGGATCCACTCCTCCAGGCCCGACACACCAGGAGGCAGCGTGTTGCAGGCCCAGCCAGTCCAAGCCGCCACAAGAGAGTGTCGCTGCCAGAGGGAGCTTACGGGCAGCACGTGCCCCAATACTCACTTTTGTGAAAGCGCCGAGTCCTCCGGTGATAGGTTTGGGGCTTTGAACTTTAGGGTGACTCCCAATTGGGCACAGCGGTGGCATAGACGCAAACAGCGAATCCTCCTGCTGCACGTATAAAAACACGCATTAGGGAATCAGGATGGGATAAGCCATTCCGGGTATTCCATCATCTATCCTTAATACAGACCTGTGACGTTCGTACCAAACCACGCTGCAGCGAGAATGACAAGTGATCTAATATCTGAAACCTTTTTCACATAAACAGGATTCCACACCTGACCCGTGTGACACATCCTAGTCAAGACACGCGGTACCAGACACTACAAGATCCTGTTCGGGCCGTGTGTATCGGTGCGTGTGCGTTTCGGTAATTCATTATTCTATCACATATTCTATGCGTACATATCGTTTCAAATCTGGTCTGAAGCGCTCCTGGCCCCTAGCGTTCTGGTAAGGGCTACCACCTGTACCTCTGATAGTCATGGACGTCACTGGGTTACTTGTCTAGTCCCCTGCTGGACGACAAACTACAAAAGGGTGGATACTTTTTAATACCCTGAGAGCCTAAACGCTAAGTACCTAGGCAGTAGCAATGTTTCAGTATGTGCCCCCTCTGAGAAGTGCTCACAACGGCAGAATCTGAAAGACCGGCAGGCTAGCAGAGGGAGGGCAAGCGGAGACACCAGAGAGTAGAGGGTGGAGTTGGATCACAGACAGGGGGAGGTGGCGCCCGGAAGAAACAAATTTATCAGACACAAAAGTAAAGTTATCTGATAATGATAATGCACAAGGTAATATCTTTATGTGTGTATTTAAACGTGTCATTTACTTTCTGTCCATATAAAATCACTATATTACACACACACACAACTTTAAGGACGACCAGAACTGGATTCAACTGATTTTACACATCCGTGCTGAGCAAGAACCAACCGTCTCCACTTTCTCTTCAGAACTCTTTACCATAGACTAAAAAATGATAGAACAAAGGTACAACAGTCATTCTGAAAGCCTTTTTGATTTTAGCAGTTTTTGCTATAGGGTACATGTGTTCGCCAGAAAGAGAGAGACAGAAAGTGAGAAATCACCCCCCAGAGGGGATGGTCACACTGCAATCCCTTCTCCTCCATTCTCTTCTTGGGATCCTGGGCACGCACGCACATGCACCCGGCGTTGAGTTTAATCCACTGGGTCCGGGATTCAAACTGTGGTTGACTGCATAGGAGTCCAGCGACATAGCCATTATGCCAAATGCTGGTCCCCTGAAAGCATTTTTAAAAAACCAATTTCATTAACGCTTACTTAAAAACAGTTTTCTAGTTAGCAGTTAACAGCTAACTGACACGGCAAGAGACCGTGGGGTTGATTCCACGCCCACAGAGAACCAATGCCCAGCAGTCCTGGACGAGGGGACACAGGCTGGGTACCCCTCCCCCAAGTGTGCGAGACCAGGAGTGTTTCGGATCTGAATCTGTGAGCCATCCTGGGGATGGCACCAAGTCTAACAGAGTCTGTCCCGTTACACCTTCCACACAGCCTGACGGGGTTTATGCAGGGTTTTGTGCTGCGTTGTTTTGGGACCACCGCACGAGGCCGGGGGAGTTTTCCACTCTGGTATCAGGCCAGGCCTCTAGAGGTTTCAGGTGTTGGTGATTTCGGGTGTCGGACCCGTCATGCTCAGCCTGCATCCTGTGAAGTCACCCAGGCCGT